TTAGGCGTCTCTCGTTCGAAAGAGATACGGTTGGAGGTATGCAGATCTTTGCATATCTATGATCGTATCTGTTTTGGATTGTCCATATTTTTTTGACAGGCCGCGGATGCGTAGATGGGTTAGTTTCCATGGTCTGCTCCGGTCCGAGACAGAGTTTTGGCATCACCTCCCTGTTGTTCTCCGGATACGCACTCTTCTTTGGCAGGACGTGTATCTGGAGAACAACGGGGAGGTGCTACCGAAATTCTGTCTCGGATAGGAGTAGAGCATGAAAACTAACCTCATCTATGCATCCACGGGTGGGATTAGGACTTATCCTCACCTATTAGACAGTAGGAACACCATGTAGATGCAATTGATGGTTACATTACTCGCTAATACATATGTTAGATGATGGATGACCGTCAGTGGATGTACACGGGCTGGAGAAGTCAGAGTGATTACACCACGGAATGGATGAACAAGACCGATGCTTTCTTGAACAGTGCATTTGGCAAGGTTGCTAAAGGACATTGCCTAGTTTTGTGTCCCTGCAGCAAATGTGGAAGCAGGAGAAGGGTAAACAAGGTGGAAATGGGTAAACATCTTGTGAAGAATGGATTTACGCCGGACTACACCCGGTGGGTCCACCATGGTGAAGCCCATCGTATGAGAGAGGAGGTGGTGAGACCACGGGTAGAGGCTTTTGATGCTGATGCGGGGGTAGCAGACATGTTAGATGACTTTCACCAAGGACAGTTCGATGAGGGACGTGAGAAGGAGGAGATGGAGGCAGCCGCACAGGCGTTCTACGACATGATGAACTCGGCACAGAAACCCCTTCACGACCAGTCAACGGTGTCTCAACTAGATGCCATTGGACGCTTAATGGGGTTGAAGTCCGAGTTAAACTTGAGTCAAGAAGGCTTCGATAAGATGTTGGCCATGATTGGCACCCTGCTTTCGGAGGGCCGTATTCTGCCAAAGAGCACGTATGAGTCACAGAAACTCCTTCGTGCACTTAAGATGCCGTATGAGCAGATACATGCTTGTCCGAAGGGGTGCGTCCTATTTAGGAAAGAACATGAGCATGCAAAGTTCTGTCCAAAGTGTAAATCCTCCAGGTACCTGGAGGTAGACTTTGATGATGGCCAGAAGAGGCAACTTACGACCCCCGTGAAAATCCTGATGACCATGGTACTAAACTTTGCCAAGTGCCGACCAGAGGGCACTCGACAAAGAATTTTTTTAAAAAAAATTCAAACTTTGCCGAGCGCCAGCCAGGGACACTCGGCAAAGAATTTTTAGAAAAAAATTAAAAAATCTTTGCCGAGTGCCTGCAGGGTTGGCACTCGGCAAAGCGACCGTCAACGGGGCCGGCACCATGACGGTCGCTTTTCTTTGCCGAGTGCCCCCGAGGCTCTCGGCAAAGCCTTTGCTGAGTGCCCGATAAAAGACACTCGGCAAAGAGGGCTTTGCCGATCAATTTTTTACCGTATGTTATTTGCCGAGTGCCGCACTCAGCAAAGGCTTTGCCGAGTGTAATTTAGCCTTTGCCGAGTGCCGGAGGCACTCGGTAAAAAACATGAATCCAGTAGTGGCTAGCCTTAAGCAACCAACATCCACAGGCGAGAGCCAATGATAAGCCCTAGAGCGATGTTCCCGGCGAGTCTATAAAGATTTTGGGGAGTTTCAAAAAGAAAACATATGCACTCGAACACAAAAGGACAGCACGCATCAACAGCATTACATCACATGAATCCCCAGATGAGACGAGGACGAGCCACTTTTTTTTTACCCGCCCGCCTTTGTCAGAACCTTGCGATCGAGTACCAATCTCATCTCACGCTCGCATCATGGTGACATGATCGATGACATAAGTACCTCCCGTCCCATGTGGCCCGTCGTGCAGTCATCACGTGCAACGGCCAAGCTTATCGCACATTGGAGGAGAGATTTTGTTGGTATCCTAAATTCTTCCGTCCCGCGCGCTGTATTTATAAATCATCTTATATGTTTGATCAACTTTATAACACAAAGTCCTAAAAAACTTTGTACAAAAAATGTTACTTTTTATAACATTATATAAGCATCATTAAATTTATTTTTTATAGCATTTCAATTTGGTGCCATAAATATTGATAATATTTCCTATAAATTATGAGTCGGCTTATCAGCTAGAATCTACAGTGTTTTTCTCTCACAACAAAACAGCTTCAACCGACTTTAATACCAGCCGAACATGCCCTTAACTAAATTCTAGATGGTTTGATTAAAACTAGAAGTAGAATTGTTTTTTCTTTCTCTGACGGAGGCATTAGTATATTCCGAACAAATTACAAGTGGCGGTCCAAGCTGTTCGACTGATAGTTTTTGTGGCTGATAAGCCGGCTGATACTATTTCGTTGTAAGAGAAAAACAATATACTATGACTATAAGTTCAAGCGAACAGTGCGCCACACCAACATCATCTCTATCCGGCCTCTCATATATGGAGTAGAAAACCCGAAACTTTTCCTTTGTATATTGACCAAAGAAATCTACCAAAAACAACTCATGTCTCATTGACAACGACTTCAATAAAAATATATATATGGAGTACGTATGGAAGTGATCATATTATATATACTATACTAATACCATTAATTTCCTCCAGAAACATACGTGCTTGTTTTTCATGACAGAAAATCTTATGCACCGACAACAGAGCATGTCTCGCTCATGCATGTATTGCGTCAACTTGTACTTCGTTGTCTCTCGCGGTACCGCAGTACTCACGTTCGCGTAGACATATATACATGTACTGGTTGACCAACTACACATGCATCACACTCGTGTGATTCGGAGGAATCCATCACTCGATCTAACTCCGGCGGGTATAGAAGGGGTCGGCCGGGGGAGGTAGGCACGTCAGGCAGCGGGCCAGGGATGGCGGCCGGGCGGCTTCGGGGCCCGAGCGACGATGGAGGCAGCCAGGCTAGGTCGGAGCGAGGGCATCGCCGCCGTTCGTCGGAGTCAGAGAAGAAAGCGGCAACAGGAGTGGAAGAGGGGTGCCGCCGCGGGCGCGGTAGGGTCTCGTTGGAGCTCCGGTGAGATCCTATCCACGCCGTGGCGGGACGGTGAGCGCTGGTCGGCGGCGGGCGTCGGGAGAAAGATGACCATTAACCGTCGGGAGAGAGAAAAATTCGTGTGATGGCTCACTCGGGTGAGATATAGACCGCTCCTTTAATTTTTTACGTCGTACGTCCTTGAGAAAACCGACCGTTATATATAATTATAAATATGCCACTACAACAGTGCCTATATATGATGTTGACCAGTTACAGACAATCCCACTACGCCATGCATGATTCTGAAATAATTATGACCTAACTGTCTTAGTACGTAGCATCATCTTGTTGTTGCATGCATGAACGACCACGGATTCCTCCGATAATGCGTATAGTATAATATAATATGTTTTGTCCAGAACTGCTGGCTCCATGCATGCATGACGTTGAACAAGCAACAAACTTGAGCTGGAAAACAAAAGCATACTCATTTCCTCAGTCGTGAAAGCGACTGTATGCATCCGCCCATATATGATCGATCGATCGATTGATTAATAATAATCTTGGTTTGGTTGGCATGGGCGCATGTATGCATGCATCAAGATTCGATCTCCTGGCCTTTCGTCGTCCAACTCCTTTTCACACTGAGGCCCGTTCGCTTGTCTTAAATTTGGTTTGTTCGACTTGTTTTTTCAGCCAGAACAGTGTTTTTCTTTCACAACAATTCAGCCGGAACAGTGTTTTTCAGCCAGTTTCAGCCAAAGTTCAGACCAGCGAACGGGGCCTCAGCATTGTTGTACAGTAACGTGACAACCGAGTTTTCCTCTTCCGGGGACCCCCTGCACTGATGGCACAGTATCAAGGCTTATGGAGAAATCGTCTCGCATTCATTGCAAGACGATCATCCATGCATTTATTCCAGAGGTCCCCCAATGCGAGCCTAACCAGTGTTGATCCATCGTCTGCCGGCCAGGTTATATAGCCTGTTATATTACTGTTATTATACTTTTATATCTAGTTTTATTTTAAAAAAATGCCCGGTAGGAGGAGGGTAGCGTTGAAGTAGAGTATGAATGAAGTGTCCGTTTCCTGTCCAAAAGATTGGTTTTTTTAAAGGAGACGGCAGACGAGAGACGACCAGCACCCCGTCCGGTACAGTACCAAACTCAACACGCTGATCTAACTGAAAAAAGAAGCCGTCGACGTGTACACCCGTCACTTTCATTTTTTTCTGCATCAGCATCAGCACCCGCACCACACCACACATGATTAATTAAAGACAACGACCACGTAGTAATATCCGCGAAACTAATCCGTCCGTCCCCAACCGCGACCCAACTCAAAAGCATCGCTCGCGCGGCCGTCCGGCGGGCCGGCGATGGAGACCCGAGTCCCGACCGACCGGAGGGCCTGGGCACGCACATCAGGTCGAGGCTCAGCGTCACGCTTTACGATGCTACGATCCACGCCACCACACGACGACGGGCCCCGAGCATAGCTGCTGCTTTGCCTGCTACTGCATCCATGGAGACGGACGGAGCAGTTTGTCGGTCTCTTCTCCCTCGGTAGCCGGAGCGAGGTCAGAGGCGACAACGACGTGTGTACTGCATGCCGGCTGCCGTCCGGGCCCCCCAGCTCGAAAACCGGGGAGGTTTCACGGCCGTACCACCCCACGCGGCCACCCACCCGGCGCATCGCTTTCCTCTTATTCCGCTCCACTCACCCCGCCCCGCCAGCCTCACATGCCATTGCCAACCTCGCACTGCTCGCACCGCCTCTCCTCCACCTGCTGCTGCTCCTGCGCCCTGACCGCGAGGGGAGGGCGCTGAGCTACCAAGGAAGCCGCGGCCGGGGGCGGGTCGGTCAACGCTTGCTCTGCAGCCGAGGAAGCTAGGGGCCAAGGAGGAGGAGGATCGAGTACGGACATGCTGGCGTCGGCGCTGGCCGTCTAGGAAGCTCGCCGCAGCGGCAATGGATGCGCGGAGGAGGGGCAGCGCGAGAGGTGCCCCAGCTGTGGCGGGAGCGGTGGCGTGGCTGCTACTTCTTGCCTCGCTTTGCACCGGCGCGTGCGGGCTCAATGCCGACGGGTTGCTCCTCATGGCCTTCAAAAACGCGGTCACGGCGGATCCGCTGGGCGCGCTGGCCGGCTGGACCTACAGCGACGCCGCGCCGTGCGCCTGGAACGGCGTCGTCTGCAACGGCTTCCCGCAGCCCAACGCCGCCGCCGCGCGGACGGCGGTGAACGTGACCTCGGCTTCCGCCGACGGCAACGGCAACTCTGCTCCCGCGCCCGCGCCCGCGCCGGCGCGCAACGCCACCGCGGCGGTGGCGGGCGGCCTCGGCGCGTCGCTGGCGGCGGCCACGGTGTCGCGGGTCATCAGCCTCGTGCTCCCCAACGCGCAGCTCTCGGGCACGCTGCCGCCGGACCTCGGCCGCGTCGAGCACCTGCGCCACATCGACCTCTCCGGGAACAGCCTCAGCGGCGGCCTGCCGGCCACGCTGCTCAACGCCACCGAGCTCCGCGTGCTCTCGCTCGCGGGCAACGCCGTCTCCGGCGAGCTCCCGGACGCGGGGGCGTCCTACGCGCGCGGGCTCCAGGAGCTCAACCTCTCGGGCAACGCGCTCGCGGGCAACCTCCCCGCCGCGCTGTGCAGGCTGCCGAGCCTCGTCGTGCTGGGGCTCGCAGGCAACCGCCTCGGCGGCGAGCTCCCCATCGGGGGCCTCGGGACGTTGGAGCTCGTTGACCTCAGCGGCAACGGCTTCAACGGCTCCCTCCCGTCGGACTTCGGCGGGGCACGGCTGCGCCTGCTCAACGTCTCGTCGAACAAGCTCGCCGGCGCGGTGCCGACCGAGCTGGCCGCGCTCGTCCCCGCGAACGGGACCGTGGACCTGTCGCGGAACAACTTCACCGGCGCGATCCCACAGGCCGGCCCGTTCGCCGCGCAGCCGGCGGCGGCGTACGAGGGCAACCCGAACCTCTGCGGGCCGCCGCTGAAGCAGGTCTGCTCCATCCCGTCGTCGCTGTCGAACCCTCCCAACGCCACCGACTCGCCGCCGGCGTTCGCGGCCATCCCCAAGAACCCCGCTCGCGCCCCGCCGGGAGCCCCGGGGCAGCTGCCGAGCGGGCAGGATAAGCTTCGTCCCGCTGCCATCGTGGCCATCGTCCTCGGGGACATCGCTGGCGTCGGGCTCCTCTTCATGCTGTTCATGTACGCGTACCACGTCAGGAAAAAGAGGCGGCAGCGTCGGGAGGAAAACCCAACGCCGCCGCTGCAGCTGAAGAGCGGGCGAGGAATCGACGGCGACGTCAAGACGCTTGACATCGCCGGAGGCAAAGAGGAGAAGGCGTCCACGTCGACGGGATGCTGCATTGGCCGCAGGAACGACGGCTCGGACAGCTCCGAGTACTCCGCGTCGTCGGACGGCGATTCCGACGACGAGGAGGACCTCAAGAAGAGGGGAAGCTTCATCTGCCGGAGCACCCCGCAGGAGCACGGCGGCAGCAAGAAGCACAACCTGCCCCAGCAGCAGCAGGCGGCCCCCGCGCCTGCGACGCTGGTGACGGTCGACGGCGACGGCGAGCTCGAGATGGAGACGCTGCTCAAGGCGTCGGCCTACATCCTCGGCGCCACGGGCTCGAGCATCGTGTACAAGGCCGTGCTCGCCGACGGCACCGCGCTGGCCGTCCGCCGCATCGGCGAGAGCGGCGGCGCCGAAAAGCTCAAGGACTTCGAGGCGCAGGTGCGCGCCGTCGCCCGGTTCCGACACCCCAACATCCTCCGGCTGCGCGGCTTCTACTGGGGCGCCGACGAGAAGCTCCTCATCCACGACTACGCCCCCAATGGCAGCCTCGCCAACATCGCGTTCAGCAGTAAGTTCCTCCGTCGTCTATTTTGCGTTACCACATTCAGCACTAACTTTCATTCAGATACTAAAAATTGCATCGGAAAGATGCTTGATTTGACACCGACATCTTTAACAGAACTCGTGATGCACTCTCACTTGTACAGTTCATAACCATAATCATTTGCGAAGTTGGAGTCTTTGGGACTGTTCGGTATGACTGAAAAATAAACTAAAATACTATTCTAGCTAATTATTGTGAGAGAAAAATATTATACTGTATGAATATAAACAGTATTTATGTGAGTACGCCGGCCTGCCGGCCCCAGCCCAGCCAGCCAGCCGAACGCACTGTTTGGCTGCAACGGCTTGAGTCCTATGAAAAGATGGCACTTTACTGATTGTACGTGCGGCAGCTTAAATGCGCATTAGTAGTACTGATTCAACTATTCGGTCTGTTCGCTTCTCTGAATTCTAGAGGAATCTGGATGGTATGGAGGAATGCTGGAGGAATTTATGAGAGAAAAATACTGTTTCGGATGAAAAAATAAGCGGATCAAACCGGATTTAAGGGAGCTTAATCGTACTGGTCATAGTTCCTAAAAAAATGTACTGGTCATAGGTACTGATAGTGCAAAAAAACTTATCATTGCTCACACAAATCATTGCAATTTTGCTGGAAATCTTGAAGACTCGTCCCTCTGGTACTACTAGTAGTCCTCTTAACCTACAAATCAAGCAAAACACTGAAAGAACTGTCCTTGGATGCTTGAGTAGTTGCAAATTACTCCTCCCTCGACGCATAACACCTTGGTGTTGCATTGTTACGATTACGAGATTCACTTCACTTGATTTGGTGATGACCGACCGGGTGATTTTGCTGCATCTGCAGGGCGGTTCGGGTCGTCGTCGCCGCTGCACCTGAGCCTGGAGGCGCGGCTGCGGATTGCGCGCGGCGTGGCGCGCGGGCTGGCATACATCCACGAGAAGAAGGGCGTGCACGGTAACCTGAAGCCGAGCAACATCCTGCTGAGCGCCGACATGGAGCCCTGGATCGGGGACCTCGGCCTGGACCGGCTGCTGTCGGGCGAGGCGGCGTCGCACTACCGCGCGGGCGCGTCGGCGCGGCTGTTCGGGAGCAAGCGGTCGATGCACTCGACGAGCAGCCTGCCGGACTTGTCCCAGATGCCCGGGCCGGGCGCGAGCCCCTGCGGGTCGGCGTCCGCCGCTGCCGCGGCGGCGGCCGCGTCGTCGTCGTCGTCGGCCCCGGTGCCGTACCAGGCGCCCGAGTGCCTGAAGAACCTGCGGCCCACGGCCAAGTGGGACGTGTACGCCTTCGGCATGGTGCTGCTTGAGCTGCTCTCCGGGCGGGTCTACTCGGAGGTGGAGCTGTGCCAGTGGCACGCGGGGCTGGTGGCCGCCGAGGAGCACGGCCGCGTGCTCCGGATGGCCGACCCCACGCTCCGCGGCGAGGCCGACGGCAGGGAGGACGCGCTGCTGGCGTGCTTCAGGCTCGCCTTCGCGTGCTGCGCCATGGCGCCCGGCAAGCGGCCCTCCATGAGGGACGCCGTGATGGTGCTCGAACGGGCGGCGGCGGCGGCGGCAGCGCCCAGCGCTGCGGCGAGCAGCAGCGGCGCCGCCGTTCCCTGAGGAAAAAAAAAACTGACCTTGTAGTGCTTGGAGTCGTTACCACTGATCGCAATAATCTTACTGCAAGTGGAAGGACGGTGGCGGCGGTGGTGATCACCGGCGGCGAGCTTGTTTGTTAGGGCGTGTACGTAGATCTGTCACTAATTTTGGAGGTGCTGCGAGAATTAATTAACCTACTAATCCTCTGTGTTTGTGATCGTGAATTTGAAAGCCATGCATATGCATATTCCTTTTTGTGATCTTTGCGTTTGCGTCTCAGCGGATCTCGTGATCTGTCCTTACTGTGACAGTGACAATGTCTGGTGATCACACGATCAACGGTTCTGGTCGACCAAATCGTGATGGCTCTTGAACCTGCCGTGCCGGTTCAGTGCACCGGAGCCGGAGGCGGCCAACAACTCAACAAGGGCTGCAGCTGCTTTATTGGCGGGGCGCTAGCAGCCACCGGCATGTGTCTCCGTGGTCCGTCCGGCTCGCGGACGCGACGAAACGTGGTGTCCCGCCATGTCTGCTCCGGCGGTCCGTACCCGCAGGCCGCAGCAACGAGCAGGGAATGCAGTGGTCTTCCTCGTATTCCTTCCACCGTGCCGTCGCCAACTCGCCATGGCCCATCATGGCGTCGCCCTCCTCGAGACGGAGACGGAGACGGACCACGGGCGACAGGCCACAGCAAGCAGAGAGTAACTTCTCTGGGGGTTGGGGAAGCTGCGGCGTTTAGTGCTTCGAGCATGTAACAGGCGGCCGTGTCGGCCGGGGTTTTTCTGCCGGCCCCGTCCTCCTGCACTGCACTGCACGTCCCCACCGCCCTCGCCTCGTGGTACGTGATTGCCAGAGGTTAGCCAGTAAGCACGGGTTGCTTAGTCCTAACCCAGACCCAGCTAGTGACAGGTTAACAACATCCAGTTCACTGGCACCCATATGCCCCAGAAATAAGCTGAACATACTCCGTACTCTATAAGATTCATGCAACGGCATGCGCCCCAATGACAGGTTTACTGTCACAGCTCACATGCCGCATTAGAAAAATGCAGTGGTATCGGTATGCAGTCAGTCAAGGAAAGGCTTGTGAAACAAGCTAGGCTCATAAAGCAGGTCAGCGTGCGCTAATTAATGGTTAAGGCTCAAAGAGAATCACAAGAAGAGTGCAAGTGTAAGGGCAGCAACAGTGCATAAGCATGCTGCATCTGCATGTGTACTGGAACAGCAGCCTTGACAAACAGTCCATCCAGTTTCGCGGTACAAGCGAAGTGATCCAGTTAAAACAAGCAGATAAAAACTCCGCTTGCACAGTTGTGCGCAACTAGATCCAACAGTAGCATCAAAGCACAAGTAAAATAGCTGACGATGGGGGGTAAATAAATTACAAGATTAGATAATGGATTACCATAGCCTATGTTAGATCAAATCCAGCCTGCAGATCTATACTATCAATATCAGCATTATCTTGCATTAGTTTACAAGAACTAGTACAGCGTTACGAGCGATTGAAGCTTAAAGCAGATCTAGCAGCATGTGTAACCTTGCTGCCACTCAGGGTGAGCAAACCTAGAGAAAACAGAATAAAGAAAACGGAGAACTCCTTCATAAAAATCTACAGGCCAGAACTTAGGTGCAGCCTCAACAATTACATATTAGTACCTTTGATGCAGACATTCGCCATAACTCATCAGGCAGCTGTCTGGCATTGCTAGATCCAATGCTCCATGTTAAACCTAGCAGTTCAGGCATCTTCTGCCTACGCTAGCAGGTGGTCAAACATGACGTTGCCTTTGTCAGTTGATCAGGGGCTTCTGTTGGAATCATCCTGGGATGATCTTGGATTTAGTACTTGATCACATGGTTCCTGCAGCCACAGTTCATACATGATCATGTGAAAGGCATCATGTGGGATGGCAGGTGAATGCTACTCGACATCCTTCTGGACTAGCAATTACAGGTGATTACTTAGTATAGTGCTATACCAAATTTGATGGCTTCCTGTCTTAACAAAAAATAAAAAGGATGATGGCCTCTTAGTATAGTTCTTCTACATCGAAACATCAGGATCTATGTTAACGAAATGCCAACCAAATAAAAGGTAGTCAAGAGAACAACTGGAATCAGATAGAATACAACCAAAGAACATTAGTTACTCCCTAGTTTAGCAGAAGCATATTATAGAAACACTAAACAACTTGGGAACCATCAGGACATATACAGAACTAGGCCTGACAAAATTGCTTCTGCTAAACTAGCCCTACCATGGCTCTGTTAATGCGGTTGTTGCTGATAGCAAGATCTGTATCATTCTCCCAAACTTGTGAAAACGAATTGTGGTGGCCAGCCCAGAAACCAAGGATCGTCCTGTCTCCATTCAAAAAGTAAGAAAAAAGTACTTCAGTAGTTTGTAGAATATCGTTATAGCCATATGAAGAATAGTAATTTTGTTAACAATATGCACGAAGTGCAAGCAAAAAGTATCATCTCAACATGTTAGCAATGCCATTTCCTGCTGCAGGAAGAGCCAATGGCTGCAATAATTGCCGAAGAGCAACATCCTTGTGCAGGATGTAGTCAACATTATAGATTGGCCTCTGTCAGCTCCAAGTGTACTGCTTCAGTAAGGGTACTTCCTGACAGCATAACGCTGAATTTTTTTTTCTTTTAAAAAAAAGATAGCATAATGCTGAACTATCGTTGTCATATTCTCAGATGACATGCCCGTCAAATTACTTAATGTCGCAATCAAGTGCCCTAAAATCTAAAAGAAATCATAGTCTCGAAGTGCCCAAAGACACTACTACTGTAAACAACAGATGACAAACAACAGGGTGGAATGGGAACATGAAAAATCACAATATAGAAACCAAACGGTACTCTATCAGCCTGCTTAATATGCATAAACTCATCAGCCCCTGCACAGATCTGAAAATCACATCCTATCTGACAGTGATAGGCTGATGGCACATTTTCACAATCCAAAAGCACTTAACTTTAGTTCAACAATGAGATGCATGAATTAATTGATCGCCTATGATAGCCAATGAATTCACATCCCACGAATCCCCGAATTCACAAAACAGAACTATAAGACAGAAGCAGTGGGCAGCATTGATGTTATAGGACTGTTTAGCTTGTTCTTCAAGCTGCTCAAATGTTCTCCTATTCTAAGTCCTATAACTTGATATATTCCTTTCCAAATTCAAACAATCCAACTGTTGATGGCAGATCATACATTCATGTACCTGAATCTTAGATGTTTCGCATGAGTTTCCATGTATTAGAGGCTTAGAGCACTCCTACACGGCACAGCACTTGCTGCACGCAAGAAACGGCAACGAACGATGACACAGTTAATCAACCATTTTCCAACTATATATAACACAACAAATCCCACAAACATAGTACACAGTAGATGCGGTCCGGGTCGTCAGTGCAAAAGTGGCCCATGGATGTTCTGGAAGAAGTACGCAATAGAGCACGAGTGCGAATAGGAGGAATACTTGTGGGACAGCGGCGGGGAGGCGGACAGCCATCGCCAGAGAGGAGCAGCTGGAGTAAGTGGTCGCGTGATACGGCATCATACAACCTCTCATGAAATACATTGATCCAAATTTATTCTAATCAAACTATCTTTAACTAAATTTATGAGGAAGAATAATATCATTTTCGATATCAAAGAGATATATTACAAAAATATTAGTAAAATATAAGATTGTTCAACTCAGGATAACTCAAAATCTATTATATTTCAGAACGGAGTAAGTAGATAGCAAGAGAGATGTGACCCAAATAGAAATATAGAATTCAAGTTGAGAAAGGCTCTTGGAGTTGCTCTGAGATCCCAATTCACACACCTTTTAGGACTTAACACATAAATCTGTCAGGGGAGTGGCAGGAAACAAATTATCCTTCAAGCAAAACCAAAATTTGCCGATATGCCTCTTTCATTTTAGTAATGCATTTAAAATGAACTGATGGCAAGCATCTCGTCTTTATGCAAGTCACTAGCATTTCTAAATTTGCAATAATTCCTGGAAACGAATTGGTTGTGCAAACTGCGCGCAGCTCTGCTATATATAGTATGTTACTCGTACAAGTCTAGCATCCAAATTCCAAACAACAAAACAAAATTTTAGGATATGTGTGCTACTTGCTTAAAGTACATTTTCTTGCAAATCAGCCCTGATGGGAAGGGTCAAAATGCTGAACAAACCACATACAGTTCCAGTACCAGGCTTCAGATTACTGAGAGCTCACTAACAAGAATGCAGAAAGTCCAATTACCAACAAGTAAATACCAGAGCTTGCAGTGGACACCCTTGCACCGCTGGTAGTGCTGGAACCATCCAAAGATGCTGAAGCTCCAGGGCTACTGATGGTCACCAGTGGCAGCGGTGGGTCCACAACATCGGCAGGTTCCAACACTGGTGCTGGCCCCTGCACCGGAGGCAGTGCACTGGGGTCTGTCAGTTTGAGCAAAGACCCAGGCTTTGCAGGCATGATCGTGTAGGTCAGGTTCTTACTGAAGTCACTGCATGGGCTCCCTACATTGCATTTAAAAGCAGGAGATTTAAGAATGTAAGCCATGCTGGTAAGAATATGGACGCTCAGCAGTTCAGAATGTTACGCTGACATATACTCACTGAAGTACTCCGCTGCCGTTGCAGGGAACTCGGTCACAATCCCATCAGCTATCAGAGATGAGTACGTCACGATCTCAACCATTGGGTTAGCCCAGAAGTCGAACCCAAGGTTCATGAACTCGTTCCTGAGCAGCCCGACATACACCGACAGGTTTGCGGCGTGCATCTTGTCGATCACATCAGTGAACCGCAAGAGGAATGACCCCTGCGTCTGGACAACCGAGCCCCGACTGATGGACACGGCGTTCGCGAACTTGGCCATCTCCTCCACGGATGCCTTGGACACATCACTGATCGCATTGCCGATCTGGAGGACGCGCTTGAACGCTGGGAACTTCTTGAATGCTCTGAGCACGGCGGAGTCGTCCGATGCGA